GGTATCATTAGACAGCTCTCAGCTCAGCGACCAAGGTGGGCCCGATCCCCACACTGGCGTGCAGCTGAGCAGTGTCAGCATGGTGTTTGTCCTTGGTGCTCCTCTTGCCCGCCCCATCTCCTCTGCCACGTGAGTGCCACGTGGCTGAGTGGACAGATACACAAACTCGCAGTCCAGCCCCGTGGAGCTCCTCTCAGCCATATGACTTTGGAGAAACTTTTGAACTACTCTTCCGTCGATTAAATGGGCACAGTGATAGTACAGAGGGGACTGGTGGTGTTGCGAGAGGTTAATGAGTCATTTTGTGCAAGGTCTGGGGCACCGCGTGGCAGTACACAGTCTTCCTGGGGGGGGGGGCTGTGTCCTGCAGGCTGTTTAACCAGTTTCCTGTGGCAGGATTTGGTTTCAGTTTTTTGGTTTTGCAAGCAATGTTGGCGTGACTTCCCTTGTAGGGAAGGATTTCCCTCATCCTCAGTTATTTCCTTGGGTTTAGTTTCTAGCCTCGGGACTGCCGGGCAGAGAGGGTACATGTCACTGGCGAGAGATGGACCAGCTTCTCTAGTGGGACAGAGTCAGACTGCATTCTACCAGAGATGAATGAGTGTGCAGCTCTCCGGTGCGGCCAGGTTTTTAACTTTTTGTCAGTTGAGGGCCCAGAAAGGCTAGGAGATAGTTCCCTAGGGATAAAACGCTCTTCCTCTTTGCTTGTCATTGTCAGCAATAAAATCTCCGAGAAGCTGGAGCATGCAGGAAGCTGGGTGGAGCGTGCGGATGCAGCGCCCCCTGCCGGCTCACTGGTGGAACGATGAGCAGATGTTATATGAGAGCGTGGTAGGCTCCGTGCCGTGTCCTGCACCCTTGGGGTGCAAGTGCTAGGAAGCGAGGGCAACATTTTAACGACTTTGGGCCACTTAGCCTCGGGTGACATTTCCTTTTTTTTTTTTAAGCTAGCAGAACCAGGGATTGAACTCAGGTCCCTGCACTTGCCAGGCAAGCACTTATTCCACTGAGCCATCTACCTGGCCTCCTTGGCCAGGTCCTTATACAGCAGTAATTTTGAGCAAGGGATACTTTTGCCTCCACAAACATTTGGTACTGTCAGGAGACGTTGAATTTAGGGGTGGTGCCAGTTCAAGAGGTGGTGGAGCCCTAGAGGGAGGGGCCCAGGGACGCTGCTGCACGTGTGAGGCGCTCAGGGAGCCCACTGCAAAGGGCACTGGGGTTGAGGTTGGGAAGGAACTGGAAGGATTGCTTGAGAAAAGTATCTCTTCACAGGCTAAAGTATAAAAATATTAATATTCAGTCTATGTCACCTTTGTTATTACCATTTTGCAGAAATAGAGAATGATATTACCATTGTAGAGACCTGTTAATTTTGCAGGCCCCAATGAAAGCAGGTGGAACTGAAACAGCAAATAGGCAGCTGTGGAAGAGAGCCTACATAGAACCCACAGGATGTTCTGCGGGCTGAGAGGAGGGAATGCTTTTCTGTTGATTTGGTTAAACCTGCTGTACATTCCTGTGACTTTCCCCTGAAGGCCTGTCCACTAAAAATAGCGCTGTATTTGACCCTTACCCCCACTTTCACATTGCCAGTGTGTTGCTCAGATTAATAACTGTGCCGCCCAGGGTCTGGCATGCAGTTGGCACCGGAGGCTGCCGTTGGTGCCCCCTCCCCCTTGGATGCCGACTCAAGCGTTGTTGCCAAAGGGGGAAGGGATGGAGGAACTTAAAAAAGAGTCCTAGAGAAGGGTGGGGCTGAAGGGAAAGTATGGCAAGAATTTCGGGAACAGCAAATTGTGCTGCAACTTCTGTATTTGCTGAGCTCGGACACTGCTGTCCCTGGTCTCCACCGAAGCCACTTGCGAAGTGTTGCATTGTTTCATTTCTGTTCAGCATCGCTATTCTCTGAATGACTTGCATTTTAGAGCAGTTGTCTTGCGGTCCTTAGCTGGAGCGCCTCCTTAGCCATTGAAATAACACTGAGAACTATTTAGCCCGAAATGGAGATGAAGGAAATTCCCAACTATTCCCTGAACATTAGAGGCTTTTTTTTTTTTTTTTTTTTTTTCGGAACTGGGGATTGAACTTAGGCCCTTGCACTCGCCAGAGAAGCACTTATTCTACTGAGCCATCTCCCCAGCCCCATTAGAGGCTATTTTAATCTTCTGTAAGAAGTCAGTTTTTCAAACTGTAGGTCCCATTAGTGAGTGGATTGTAAGGTTAATTTGTGAGTCACTGGGATTGCAAAAAAAATGAGATAGAATAGGAAACCCTAGAGAGCTTGGGTGCTGTAAGACATGTCGCCACTCATGTGTATACTTACATGTGTTCTTATACATGCACACACATGCAGGACTACAAGTTTGGAAGGCCCTGGCTTAGGTCTTATAGTGTGCTGAGACTGGGTTGCTTATAGGGCCCTCCAGGCAGGGACCTCGGGGTTCCTGTGTGTCACTCTTCCCTCAGCTTTGTATCTGTTGCTCTTCCAGGTGGTACCAGGGAGATCGGCTCGGCCCTCACCAGGATGTGCATGAGGCACAGAAGCATCGAAGCCAAGCTGAGGCAGTTTTCGAGGTAAGGAGCACTTTGCCCACACACAGTGTGCCTGCTGGTTCGGGTTGGAGGGGCAGCGGTATGTGCTGTGCCTCACTCTGCGCAGAGCCCATCTCCCACAACCTGGGTTCCCGCCGCTCTGCCATTCATTAGATAAGCATTTGTCGGGGCCTCGCTGCTGGTCAGGCCTTGAGTCTAGTGCAGTAGTGGCACACGGCAGCCGTTTGTATCACTGAGAGCTCTTAAACGTTTGCCATCACTGATCTAGGCCGGGTACCACAGAGCGCTGCCCGCCAGGTCCGTGGCATCCAGGGCCTGCTGCTCCATCCGGGTGTCTCAGTACTTCTGCCTGTGTCTCCCCTTCCCTCCCCCGAGCGGAGGGGCCAGTGTGTCGTGCTGAGGCGTGCTGGGCCTCCACTGCCTTGCAAAAGCCTCTCAGAAGGGAGAGTGTATGTGCCATGCTGTCCTGACCCAGGCTTGCCCTAGACCCTCAAGAGGGGGTGGTGGCTCCCGGAGTCTCTTACTCTACCTTCCAGGCTTCCAGAGCAGGGAGAAAAGCCAAAGCTGGGACATGGATGTGGACTCCTCAATGCAGAAGTGAAAACAAACCCTTATTTCCAAGTGGCCTACACAGCAGTGGATGGGGGTTGTGTTGAGAGACAGCACAGAGGAGACTTGGGGTGCACCTGGTGCTCCCCTGACCCCTCAGAGGTCCGGAAGCTGGCAGGGCAGCATGTGACCTCTCCAACCATCCTCTGCTCCTCTCTCCAGGCCAGGCCCAGTTGTGTGCTCAGTGACTGCCATCCTGAATTTGTGCGGGAGCCCTTCAAGCAGTGCTGGAGCTGTTTAGGGGTGACCACCTCTTGGGGAGCCCTGTTCTGCAGCTTGGTTTAACAGGCATGAGAGGGTCACTCTGGCCAGTTTTGTAGTCTTCAGAGAAGCACGCTGAGAACAAGGCAGATCTGTGTGTGAGCACTGGCTCATGCCGCTTTACCTGCCCCCAGGATTTGTTTTGACAGTGAAATGTAAGGTTTGACTACAGAATGTATCTGCTTAACTTCTCCTCTTTCTCTTTTGGCAAAAGTGCTTTAATTGATTGTCTGATAAATCCACTTCAAGAGCAGATGGAAGAGTGGAAGAAAGTGGCCAACCAGCTGGATAAAGACCATGCGAAAGGTACGGGGTCTCACGTCTGCTGCGCCCTCGTACCCTTGGGCTGTGGGTGTTGTGGGTGCTGCCTGCCACCTTGTGTCACCAGCATGCCCAGAACCCTGTCTGTCCCTGCTTCTCCTTAGAGGCATTTCTGTGTTGGGGGTGCGGTTGCAGGACTGAGTGCTGCTTTGAGGGGCATGCACCGCCACTCGGCAGCTGACCGTCTGACAGTTTGGTGGCCTTGTGGTCCACTGGGTTAAATGTGCATTGCAGTGGCAGTTGTAGATGCCAGGCAGTCACACCTTTAAGGGGGTCTTAGTTACTTTTCTTGTTGCTGAGACAAAATACCTGACATCAGAGTTAAGGAGGAAGGGTGTGCTTCGCTCACAACATATAGAAATTTCAGTCCACAATCAGCTGGCTCCAAGGCGGGAGGATGGCAGAGGGCAGCAGTTCATGGCAGTGGAAGACAGCAAAAGCAGGCGAGGGAAGTGCGAGACAAGCCTCTTTCTGCCCTGATACCATACCCAGCCTACCCGAATTAGGGAGGTGCCAGTCCAATCAGTGCCCGATCCAGCAGTCAACCCCCTTGATCCCAGCACCCCTAATCCCAGCACCCCTAATCCCAGCTCCCCTAATCCCAACATTGCTGTACAAATCAGTCACATACTCTATAGATTCAGACACCTCCAAAAAAGGCTGCCCCATGGCTGCTTGGGGGAGAGGGGACATCTAGACACAGCATAACAGGAGAGTTTCAGGGGACTTGGAAAACCAGGATTCTGATAAGCTTATCTTGGGCCGCCTGCCAGAACTGGCCATTGTTTCTGTACTGTCTGGAGTGAACTGGTTTAGTTAGTTGTCATGGACCTTGCAGGACTTTCGTAGTAAGGGCTTGCCCCTTATTTGGGTCATCCTGATGTTCTTTATATGCCGAATATCATGAGATGTATAGAGGGATAAATGCAGTTCGTACTAACACTTGCTCTGAGATGTAGCCCGCGACTGCTCCGGGGCTGTGCAGGAGCCACTCTTCCATGGGGTTTAGAAATCGGCCTTGCTGGGGCTCTGGAAAGGCTGTTTCTGCCTGCTTCAGGCTACGCCGCGGACTCTCTACCAGGGGCTGTCGTAACCTGCGGCCAGGTGTGCCTTCGCTCAGCTCTTCCTTCGGGCACCTTGGAGCTGTGGGGGCCGCGCTGTGCTCTGTGTCTGCCTGCGTGCCCAGGCCACAGAAGTAGGTTGATCTTGGTGTAGGGGCTTGTCCTCGAAACTTGGCAGGACTTGAGGCTCCCATGGCTGTGTCTTCATTGCTACTGGAAAGTGGTCTTGCGAAGAACTTCAGCAGCCTTTTTGACTAGAGGTGGAGGCTTGGCAGAAGCTTTTGTGCGCTGAGCTTTCACCTTTGGAGAGAGGTGCTGGTGTTGGCTGCATTTTTGAGCACAAGTTAGGGTGAAGGCTGGGGAGATAGCTCAGCGGTCTAAGAACCTGCCTGGCAAGCTCAAGGAGCCAGGTTCGATCTCCAGTACTACATGCCATGCTATGGTGCCAGCCTCTGAAACCAGGCGTGGTGGCACACCCCTGCCATCCCCAGGCTGAGATAGGAGGATCACTACAAGTCCAAGCCATGTAGTGAGGCGCTGTACCAAATAAACAAACAAACAAATAAATGGCTTATAAATAAATAAGTGTGAAAGTCATTTTGCTCTGAGTTTTTAAATATGTACACAGATCGTACAGAGTTTGCCATTAAAGCAATACAGCATAACTCTGTGAAAGAAGATACATTTTTAGAAGCATGGGTAGACATGGATTATATTTAGCAGTTGTATAAAATACTTATCAAAGTCTTTTATTCTTTCTGTGCTTTTTTTTTAAAGTTAGAATTCATCTTCAACAGAAAAAAAAAAAAAAACCCACCATCCTAAGCCCATGTTTGTTTTAAGAGCCATTTAAAAAAGACTTTCCTTAGCGTTTGTTCCTGCTGGCATTTCACAGCTGGGACCTAGTTTGATACCATCTTAAAAAACCTTTTTTTGTTCATCTGAAGTTAGCGAGCCAGGCAAGCTGGAAGATTCGCACTGTCCCTGTGTCACAGTCAGCCCTGGGTTGTCTCTTGTGCATCCACTCATTGTGTCCCTCTGTATCTCCATGAGGTAAAAGAAGTGGAAATACTTTGTTTCAGAAATACTGAAAGTTTTTTCAGGTGGGGAAAGGTTGAGAGTTTACATTCATCCCACAGCATTTTGTTCATGTTGCATCTTTGTTGATTCCACCCATTTGCGAGTGCAGCAGAGCTGATTTTTTTTTTAAGCAAAGCCTTCATATTTGTTTGTGTGAATCTTTTATAAGAGACTTTGTTGAGCCCCGTGGGGAGAAGGCAGCAGCTTACACAGAGCTCAGCTTGATCTTTTCTCAGCCGACAGAGCAGAGGTCCTTGCTTGTAACTGACCGTCCCTTCTGCTGCCTCCTGGCTGTGTGCAGAGAAGGCTTCTCCATTTGTCCTTTAGGTTCACATGCAGAGACAGAGAGCTGGGCCAAGCGTGCGTGGGAGTCCACTGTGGTCTAGACAGGGCAAGAGGGTCGGGGTCCCAGCACCAGGCTTGGGAGCGAGCCCTGCGCTCCACGCCTCAGGGCACCCAGCTCTGCTAGGCTGCATCTCCGGCTGCGCAGAGGAGATAGAGGCTTAGCTTTGCCTGTTGCGAAGGTGGAGAAAACCATGGAGGGAGAGAGTGGTGCCAGAGCTGGAGGTCGCTGGGCACAAGGAGGGGAAGAAAATGGGGCCGTGTTTGACTGATTGTAACGGATTGGCGAGGTCTCATCACCCTGGATCTGGGACAGTGGCGATGTTGGTGTCCTTGCCAGAGAGCAGGCCGAGTGCAGGGACAAGGGTGCTGGAGACTCATCAGAAGAGAGCAGGAAGCTGCCAGCACGCCGTGCTCCCCAGCAGCACGAGGACCCTGAACTGGCAGAGGGCCTCTGCACAGACAGGGCGGGAGCCGAGCTGGGCCGTAAGCAGCTGTCCTGGCTGTGGTCTGCGTACGCCTTCAGCCAGTGTGTCTTGGTGCCTCTGGGCCCTGGGAAAGGCGGTAATACTGAAAATCTTTCCTGGTGCTTGAGCTAAGACATTGGGAATTCTTTTTGCTTTTATCAAAATACTCCCTCAAGGCAGGCATGATCGGGAGAGAGCGGAGTGCGTTTTGTTGCCTTTCTTGTAAATAGTTCCTTTGTTGTAAAATGTCATCATGAGACTTTATCATGGAGCGGTTCCACAGAACTGTTTGCCTCCTCCAGAGTTTCTTCTTTCTTTAACAAACGTAGTGGCTATTCCTAAGGATTTTCTGTTAAGCAAAGTGGTAAAATCACTCAATGTTCTGCTTCCTTTTAGAATATAAAAAAGCCCGCCAAGAGATAAAAAAGAAGTCCTCAGATACGCTGAAATTGCAGAAGAAAGCAAAAAAAGGTAACTGAAATTTCAGCCACTGCTGCTATAACACTGGGGAAAAACAAATGTGTCTCAGTTCTGTCTTTAAAATGAAAATACTTAGTGCACAGACTTCCTCCTACCATGGCCCTGGAGAACAGATAGGAGCAGGGAGGCTCGGGTCAGAAAGGGCTCAGAATGCAGCGTCTGTGTGAACCCATCGCCCTGCCAAGTCGTACCGGACTTACTCGTTCACCACCTTTGTCTTTCTAAAGTAGCGTCTCCCATGCCACTATGCTTTGAAATGAAAACTGAATTCCTCTGAAGCCTTTTTATGAAAGACCTGGGATAGTACAGAATAAGCCTCGTGCAGACCTTCTGTAGTAACTGTCACGGGAACGACGTCATTTTCTCCTGCACGTTTTACGCAGGCTCTAGCAAGTCTTGTGAGTGTTTGAAGGGGCTACAGGGCAGCCTGGTCTTCAGGAGGGCGGCGCTTGATGAATCACCCCCGAAGGAAACCAAGGAGGGCCTGACGTGCTTGCTGTCTCTCACAGCCGTGGTCCCTCTCTGCTCCTTCAGTTTAGGTGGAAGTTTGAAGAGAAGAATCAAGCTTCGTCCACTTCGCAGGCATCTGCAGCATTTTACTGAGGGCCGAAAGAGAAGAGCCTTCCCCTGAGGCAGAGGCGCTGACCCTCCTTCTAGGCTTTGTTCTTGAGCCCCAATTTCTGAGTCTGCTGTACCCCAGCTGACTTCTGGGGTACAGGATTCTCCCACCATGCCACTCTGATGGTAGTGTTCATCTGAGACAGCAACTTTTTTAGGGAGAGCATTCTTGAACCCATCTTCTGTCTAAAACAAGCGGTTTTTCTTTGGAATTAACAGGAGTGCATTTAGGAAGATGGGGTGGAGGAGGGTGTTTATGGGAGGAGGTGAGGACCAGACAGTTGTTAAACTTTGATATTTAAAGTTCCAAACCGGGTCTGCTGTGACATGTCGGTAGCTCCAGCACTCTGGGAAGCTGGACAAAGATAGATAGACAGACAGACAGACAGACAGACAGACAGACAGATTAATTAAAATAAAAGGGCCTGGGGTTGTAGCTCAGCGTGAATCCTTGGGTTCAATCCCAGAATAAAAAAAATAAGATCCTTTTAATTTTCACAAAAATAATAAACCCATTTCAAGATAAAGGCCAAAGAATTTTTTTTATCCACAATCAGGTTTTCTGCCTGGATTGGCTCTGAAAGTTTGTCTTGGATATGTTTTTCCAGTCTAGCATGTCTCAGAATTATATTCTAGGGCTGGTGAGATGGCTCAGTGGTCTAAAGCACCTATTTAGAACAAGCTAAGCTAAGCAAAGCACAGGGACCACAGTTCAATCCCCCAGCACCTCATGCCAGCCACGCCCCCTGGTGGGCTGAGCTGGCCACACACACAAAATAAATAAATAAATAA